ACATGTTTGCGGTTGTTGAGCCAGATCTGCTTCCTTTGAGCCTCATCTGATTCAGAATCATATGACTTATCTACCAATTGGAAAAGGAAATAGTGAAAACAGAACAAAAGAAAATACATTGGTAATGAATGTAAGAAATAATCTGCTAAGAAATTTCCCTTTTTACACAATTTTAACATATTAGGGTGAGTTCACATTTCTTTCCAAGTCTTCCCAAGGATCAACAGCAATAAAAAGACTAAAAGTGTCTGCTGTCTTACCAAACTTGAGTTTCCAGGCATGAAACTCCAGATCTTCCAGAGAGATGCTGGCACAGCTGGATACAGCCAGAACAGCAGCAACAACGAGCAGCAACTTCATCTTGACTGAACACAAGCAGAAGAAGACACAGATCCTTTGTTACTTACAAAAAAACAGACAGCTTGTTTCTGATGTTTTTCAGTTTTAAAATGTTTTCTGTCATAATATCTTCTGTCACTTTCATAGAATCACAGCATCTACTCTTCCCATTTTCTTTGAGTTTTCATTTCACCTTCCGATTCTTCCTCAAATGAATGATTCTCAGGTTTTTTTTCCATCAGCATGTTACTGAAAAGTGTATTTACACTCATCTATGTGTCTATCAGTGCTGTAGCTGCTTACCTGTCTCAGTGTCCGTGTCTGTCACGAAGACGAACCATCTGTGACTGATGTACGTCTGTGTCAGAGACGAGTTCCTCTATAGTCGACTACAGTTTTCCAGTGAAGTCAGGACAGAAGTGTGCAAACAAAGCAAAAGAATGTAAATGCACTGAAACATAAAAAGGTGGAGCTTACCATTAAGAGTCAACACAATTTGTTTGGCAGTGTTCCAAAGAGGAAGTGTGACTTTTTTACCCGCCCCCACAGTTGTTCACTGGAGGTTCACTGGTTGAGTAACATTCATGAAAGTCAGCATTTAGTCTTCTTTGGTCTTCAATAGTTTTTGCAAATCTCTTAGCTGTGTTTGGAATTATGGAAAAAAAACAGTCCCAGACCTAAATTGTGCTGTGTTTCTTTCTCCTGCTGGTCTATGTACAAACAATATTTTCACTCAATTGCTAAAAAGCCATATAAGCAGCCAATATCTGAGTCCACATTTCAGACTTTTTTAATAACAAAAATGATTTTGAAGTATTTAAGGCAGCTGAAAGTAGCCCAGTATGAAATGTGTTAGCTTGTCATTGAGCAATATTCTCAGCCATCTTCGAGTGTCTGAAAATCAGTGAATAAGATAAAGTAAAACAATGCAAGCAAATCCCCTCTCACAAATTTATAGTTAAACACAAGGGTATGTAAACAGAATCTACAACATGGAACACAATTAATCTGCAATCTTAATAATAAAGTTGTTTATTTAACAAACCAGATAAGGCCAGGAGGTTGACTGGAGCTCATAGAGAAAAATGTAAAGAACTGAAGCAGATAAATGTGTAACTATACTTTAAGTGTCTGTGTAGATTCTCTGTTATCCAGGTGTTGGTAGTATTGAGCTCTTGAAATGAATTGTCAGAATTCTTGGCTTTTTCCAACTCCCATAAATGTTCACTAGAGTTGAGGTAGGGTGATCTGGTGGAGGAACATTGATATCAGTCAGCCTTTCTTATGAGAGAAATGGATGAGGTTTTCAAATATTACAGGCAACTGTTGTTGTTTTGATGGCACTTTTATTTTTTGTGTTACATGCTGTTGAAATGTCAATTTAATGAGTCACCACACTTCAAAACCAAGTACTCCTTGAGCTGGTCCAAAGGTCTGTAGTGAAGAAGTGGAGAGCTGGAGCTCGGTACTCCCTGGTGTTTCATTTTTCCTGTGAGATCTGAAATGTTTCAAGAAGTCTACACACCTTCATGTAGCGGGTGGCTAAACCTTTTTAACATGTATGTATCGCACCACACTGTAGA